GGGCAGTTCTACTGTCTGTTAGGGTCACTGTGGGTCAAAATTGACTGGGTGGCAGCGGGCTTGGAGTCTTGAGAAGGCTCTGCCACAGGGAGGTGGTGGGCATGAGCTGGGGCATCCCATGACTCAGGCTGGCTGAAGTCTTCTTGTCCACACTCTCTGGCCCTTCCAGAGACTCTTTCGTGAGGACCGCTGTGGGCTGATGTCACTTCCTGTCCTTATCCGGGGTGTACAGAAGAGGAGAGGATCCCATTGCACCAGTCAGTCACATCTCTGAGGATCTTAGCTCAGTGCTTCCTCTTCTCTACGCCCACCCCCAGAGCTGTTTTATTGTAGAGGGGAGATCAGATAACGTCTCCGGGTGATGCAAATGGTTAATGTCCCCTGCTAACCCAAAGACTGACAGTTCAAGACCATTCAGAGGGGCTGCGGAAGAAAGGCCCGGTGATCTCTGTCACAAAAGGCACCACCGTTGAAAGTCCTGGGGGGCACATAGTTCCGCTCTGACACATACGGTGTCCCGTGACAGCCCCTGGTTTACCGAGGGTAAGTAAAAAAGTTTTCCTACCAAAAAAAGGCATAGAAACCTTTACTAAACAAAAACATCAAACTGGTTTCTCTCTGTGCTCCACATGGGTCTGGACACTTCTGAAAGGGATGCGTTCATTTTCCTCAGGTTTTTCCGCACTCTTGACTTACATCACGTCCAAAGGGCAGGTTCTGCCTCCCCTGGGGACTTAACGTGTGCTCCTTTCCAATGCCCTTTGAGTTTAGGGGAACAAACGAAGTCTGAAGGGTTAAGATTAGAACTGTAGGCTGCATGGGGTCAGGATTCTCAATAAAATTCACATAGAATAGCCTCAAAGAATAAGCAGGGGCAATTTCAAGATAGATAAAAATCCCTGGTTACAACTCTTCTCACTAATTTGCTTTTCAATTATCTTAAAACTTCTTCCTCATAGGCCCCCCTGATGTCTCCGTGTCCCCCGGGAACCCTATGAAGATGACCCCTTGGGAATTCTAAAAAACAGTCCCTATAAACGTGTGAACTAACCATTTTGTCTGAAACTGAACTGGCCCAGCACATTCTCTCAGAAGTCATTGTTTGTTTATGGCTTTGTTGTGTGTCTTTAATGGTAACATTTTTATTGACATATAATCCACATAGCATACAATTCAACGGTTTAAATATGCAATCATCCTCACAATCTGTTTCAGAACATTTTCTTTATTGTTATACTCATTGTTATTAGCTCCCCACCCAAACCCCCCCTGCCTCAACCCTAAGAAATGATTAACCCAGCTATTGTCTCTATAGATTTACCTATCTTGGATAGCATATAAGCAAAAAAAAAAAAAAAGATATGTACCAAACAAAAAACCCAACAATAAAAAATAAAACAGAAAAAAAACCCTCAATGGAAAAGAAAGCAGAAAATAATAAAAATATATAGTGAATTTTAAATGGGTCAAAAGAGAGAACAGATGATAGAGTGTGAAATTGGCATCTAACTGTACGTGCATCCGTCCACTTTTGAATGCTCTCCATCTGTTAGCAAGGCTATTGACATCATCAAAGGGACTCACCAGGAACTTAATCCACATGGGGACCCTGCAAATGGATTTTGGGCTTTCACTGTCATCCAGTGTCTATAAGCCAAGTGCTCAGAACGTAAGCTCTAATACAGTTCCCTCTTCCTATCTTGGATTTTATCACTTATAATCCTTGGGTCACACAGGCTGGTGTACTTCTTTCATGTGGACTTCACTGCTACCTCATTTAGATGGCTGCTTGTTTTAAGACAAGCCATTAAGACTCCAGATGCTAGTCTTTCTGAAAGCTTGAGAAGTTGAGAAGCCACTGTTTCGATGGAATCTGTTTTTTGAAAACACCCTAAGGCAGCAGTTCTCAACCTGTGGGTTGCCACCCCTTTGGGGGCCAAACAACCCTTTCACAGGGGTCACCTGATTCATAACAGCAGCAAAATTACAGTTATGAAGTAGCAACAAAAATAATTTTATGATCATATCATTGTGAATGAGGGGGAGTGCAGAGTGAAGACCCAAAGCCCACCTGTCGGCAACTGAACATCCCCTTACAGAAGGGTCTCAGGGAGGAGAGGAGCCAGTCAGGGTGCAGTGTAGCAATGATGAAATATACAACTTTCCTCTAG